TGTATTTTTTGTCTTTTTACGAAAAGATGTGCAAAAAAATAGAGAGGTGATGTGATGAAAAAAAAATAAAAAAAATAAAAAGATGAATTATTTTTGAATTGCCAAATTTGACCTTAGTAAAAAATTGACTATTTGCTTTTTTAGCCAAAAAAGCTAACTTTTTTTAGTAAAAAATTTTGGCTAAAAAAGCCAAAAACTAGTTTTTTTGCTATCTTGCCAAAGTATGTAATTTGAAGTTAGTGATATCGTTTCTTGTGGGTCCATAATTGAGGATCAAATAAATTGTATCATTGATCAATTGATTTGTCAAGATCATCATTGTGAGCACACACACATCTTTAATGAATTCAAATATGATTGAAAATTGCGCTTTGCCAAGAATTTAAGCTATCGGTAGGTGTGAAAGGATATACGAATTCACAAAGCTGCGGTTGAAGCTTAGGTAACCATCTCTTTTTTTTCAAAAAAATTATTAGGAAGAGAAAAATCAGACACCTAATGCATGTAATCGAATAAGTTTTTTTTTTTAAATTTAATTTCATAATAAATTCTTTAAATCTTGTTTGTATTTTGTATCCATTTCTTTGTTCATATAATTTTTTTCTTTAGTTTATTTTATTTTGTTATTTTTTTGCAAATCCCTGCACAACTTTAATCTTTGCACATCAACACAACTAATCAGTATCAAAAAAAAAAAAAAAAAATGATAATAGCCAAAAATGAGAATTGGTTATATTTTCTTTACACTTTAGCAAAATTATTTTTACATTTACCATTGGAATTATTCTAAATCATTTTTATAAATGGGAGAAAGAACCATAATGATTAATCCATGAAAATAGGAAAATTATTGAATACTCATTCTCGACAAATAAAAAACTATAACATACATAATTCATCTTTTATTTCTCAATTATCTAAAAAAGATGAGTCCCTACGTTTCACTCATAAATTTTTTGATTATATGATTAGTTTGAAATACCACATAATAAATATTGTCATATAATATTTTAAAATTACTAATTAATTACCCTGATTGTAACATTGTTGCTTGTAGTATTCACATCCACGTTTTGCTTGATATAACGGTGGTGCTACGTGCACCAATTAGTATACTAACTAATATACCAATATACCTTATGTCATTATTATTGACTACACCTATTATACATATTACAAATATTCAAAACCTCTAAAATTATGTTAAATCATCTGTTAGTATAATAATTAGTCTACCAATTAATACATATAACATTATTTTTGATGTAATGCTTACCATTTAAAGTTGTAGTCTAAAAGGAGAAGCAAAGTTTGAATCTCCACTTGCCATGCCATGAATATGAATATGGACCAACACAACACCATGGTGCCACCTCCCATTGAGCCCTCTTCTTGCTCCTTCCTTTCAATGTGGATGCAGCTTTTAACACCATACAAGACTGACTTTTCTCCCATTGGTTGTACTGAGAATTTAAGTGGAGATATCACTGTTGCCAACTGAGTTTTTTTTGTTTTTTTTTTTAGCTCATGAATTGCGGTATTAAATGGCCAAGAAGATTTATTATAATTGGGTGGTGGTTTGTGATAAATTTTAAGACAAAATATATATTTGAATAAAATGCGTTAAGTCTAACAAGTTTAACATAATTATACTGATTTTTTTTTTAAATTTAATTTACATAATACTTAACACTACTTTTATCAATAATTTATCAGTCGTATGAATAAAAAATTTATACCGCCATCTTTTTTATACTAAAATATATGTTTTTTACTCTTATTTATCAATATATTTACACAATATTTATATTGATTACAATCATTTAACCTAATAAAAAAAATTAGTGTAATTATATTAAATTTATAAAATTTGTTGTTGTTGTTTTTTTTTTTTTTCAAAAAAAATTAAGATGAAAGTAACAAAATGAAAGCAGCATGTTGGTTGCACATGCTTTGGGGGATTTTGTGTCATAGAATTTGTCTCTAGTTAAATAAGATAACCTATGGTCTTGAGTATTATATTTTACTAATAATTTAGTGGAGGACTAGTGGATTTAGGGGAATCCAATGTCTAGAAGTTGGATTGAACTGAGGAAGAGATATATATAGGTTTGGTGACGTACATTCTTTATTTTTATTTTTTTTGGCCCAATCATTCAACCTATCCCAAAATAAAAATAAAGCGACATTATCGTTATTGACTTTTTACTTAAAAAATATATGTATATATAATATGATCTAACAAAATTTTACAAGTTTTTTTTGCTTAGATATATGTGCATATGTAATAATAAAATTTTAAAATTTATAACAAAATTTATTACTCAATAACTTCAATTGCTATAGGCTATGTCCGGCAGGTAGTTTTAGGAGTCACAAAAGACAAAATAAGTTAAAAAATTAATAAGATAAAATATTACATTAAAATCATAATTATTTCATTTTTTCTCTCACAAAAATTAAAAGAGTAAAAAAATCCATTCCAAACAAGACTTTTTAGACCCAGATTAAAATAGCCAAAAAAAACTCAAAAGTCAAAAAACTAACCCGCATCCCAAACAAAAACATAGTCTAATCGAATGTAAGACAATCAACCGTAGGCTTCCAATTTTTAACTCCAAAAATATTTCAATGTAAAAAATGTTTTTTTGGAACCCTATCGGGCTCAAGATTGGTTAGGCAATATTATATACCTTTGCAATAATGTATACAGGCTAATAAGGTTTAAAATGGCTAAGCAAGATATATAATATGGCACGATAGTACAATTTACACTAATAAAAATCCTCATAATGCAAGAAGGGGGTTTTTAAATTAATCATTTCGAATTGGAACTACGCACCCGTATCATATGCGAATTGAATTTTAAAATTCAATTGCAATCTTAAGCTATAGTCTTTAAAAATATTTCATTATCATATTATGCCCCGTATTGACAGTTTTGACAATAATTAAATAAGCTTCTTTTTTCTTGAAGAAGTTAAAAGTAAAAATTTGTTTGTTTTTGCTAAATAAATAAGGTTAATATGATAATTTCTCACAAAAAATATCAAAATTAAAAAGATAAAATTTTCAAAAAAATAAATAATTAACAAAGTATCAATTTTTCTAGATCTTAAAAAAGCAAAAAAATTATTAAAATATATTTTCGTAAGGGTCGTCATCATTTAGTTTGAATACTCATGTTCCTACCCAAATATAGTGGGCTTTTACTCGATTCGAGTTTGAAACCTGACCCAGCTTGTTGGCTTGTCCATTAGCTTGTCTATTGTCTCGTGAGATGCAACATGTTAAACTGCTTGTTGGGTGAGCTCGTAAACTTGTAAAAAAATTTAAAATAAGCCTTAAATCTTGGTTTAGTTAGATTAAACTTATGAACCTAGTGCTCATAATGAGTGTGCTGTTAGGCTAAACTTGTGAACCGATGTTCGAATTTGTCTAGGTCAAATTTTTTGAAAATGACTTAAAATCAAACTTTTGATTTGTCTAACCCGAGGAAAAAAAGAGTCTATTGGACTTAACTGGCGAGTGAGTTTGAGTCCTATTTTGGCAGTTTAATTTGTTATTATTTTTCAAATAAATAGTCCTAATCTTTTGCTATTTATGGTGTCAACAAACATGCAATTGTTTTCGTTAAAAAATGCAAATACCATTTGAGAGGGAGATTAATGGTATGGACTTTGTGCCAGACAGATTTGGGCCGGGCAGAGTTGTGCCGGACAGATTTGGGCCGGACAGAGTTGGGCCGGGCAGAGTTGTGCCAGACAGATTTGGGCCGGGCAGAGTTTGGACTGAGTGTGTGCCACCCCGGACCGAACAGAAACTGCTCGGCCAGGAAGTGACCGGTCGGACTAGGATGCTCGGTCCGAGGATGGTCGAAGCAGACAGACCGAGTGACCGGCGCCCGGAAAGGCGTGGTCAGCCGAGGTAGTTGATTGACCGGCAGGAAGGCCGACCAAAGGAGGTACCCGGGCTAGGCTTTGCCGGGATGCCGCCTAGCCCGGTCCTCCATGTGTTTGTCCGGTTAGGCGCATGGGTATGAAGCATGGCATGGCCGTGGTAGAGCAGCACGGCTGCCGAGCTCCAGCTGTGAAGTCAGGCAGTTGAGATTAGGTGATGTTCAGCAAGGTCTATGCTGACAGATGGGATAGCAGAGCCACGTGTCAGGAGATGACTGGGAGTGGGTAAGGGGCTCAGAAGGTATATAGGCATGTCTGCGCCCCCCATACGGGACACACGAACAGTCTGTAAGGAATTTCTTACACTCAAACACTCTCTCCCTTCTCTCTATCCATCCTAAGGTGTGTGCTAACTTGATCGTCAGAGGGTTTTTCCGGCCACACACCGCCGGGTAGCTCACCGTTACTTGCTCGCAGGTGATCGGACATCGACGGAGCTCGGAAGAAAGGAGTACGGGCTTGCCGGAATATTTACTCCCCGTATACCATTTATGCCACTATTGATCCCTGCTCAAGCCCTTCAGCTTTTCAGTTTGATTTTTCAGCTTAAAAAAGTAACGGTAATTGAAAACCCCATTCAAATACAGAGTGGCTCTTAAAAGTCCTACTTTTTACACCAGTTGTTTGACAAAATACGTACTCTCTCTCTCTCTCTCTTTCTCACTGGGAATTTAACAGGAGAATCGAAACTCAGTACAGAAAGGGTGCGTTTTTAGAGAGAGAACCCTTTTGGAGTCTTGGGATTTAGAGAGAGAAACCTCTGTTTCATACAGGACTCGAAATGTGTCTTTATCGTCTCTCCACTTTCCTGTTTCTTCTCGCACTTTCCGGCGTTGAAACTGTTTGTGGAAATGTCGAGCTGAGAGCTCTCATGGAAATCAAGTCCTCTCTCGACCCAGAAAACAAACACCTCTCTTCATGGACCAGCGATGGCGACTAGTCCTAATCTTTTGCTATTTATGGTGTCAACAAACATGCAATTGTTTTCGTTAAAAAATGCAAATACCATTTATGCCACTATTGATCCCTGCTCAAGCCCTCCAGCTTTTCAGTTTGATTTTTCAGCTTAAAAAAGTAACGGTAATTGAAAACCCCATTCAAATACAGAGTGGCTCTAAAAAGTCCTACTTTTTACACCAGTTGTTTGACAAAATACGTACTCTCTCTCTCTCTCTCTTTCTCACTGGGAATTTAACAGGAGAATCGAAACTCAGTACAGAAAGGGTGCGTTTTTAGAGAGAGAACCCTTTTGGAGTCTTGGGATTTAGAGAGAGAAACCTCTGTTTCATACAGGACTCGAAATGTGTCTTTATCGTCTCTCCACTTTCCTGTTTCTTCTCGCACTTTCCGGCGTTGAAACTGTTTGTGGAAATGTCGAGCTGAGAGCTCTCATGGAAATCAAGTCCTCTCTCGACCCAGAAAACAAACACCTCTCTTCATGGACCAGCGATGGCGACCCATGTGGTGGCACATTCGTGGGTGTGGTTTGCAATGATCACCGGAAAGTGGCAAACATTTCCTTACAGAGCAAGGGTCTGTCCGGCGAGGTTTCACCGGCGGTGGCGGAGTTGGAGTGCTTGACGGGTCTGTATTTGCATTATAATTCTTTGACTGGAGAGATACCCAAAGAGATAGCGAATCTCACTGAACTCACTGATCTCTATCTCGATGTGAATAATCTATCTGGGACTATACCTCCCGAGATTGGAGACATGGCTAGTCTTCAAGGTTAGTATACGAGTTTTGTGAAATTTGTATTGAAATTTGGTTTTTTATTCACTTTTCTAGCTTAGGATTGATGTGAAGATTCTCTGGATTTGAATTTTTATCAGCTAAATTACTGGATTTGGTAGAAAGAAGCTTGGATTTTGCTTTCAGATTTATGGGTTTTATTTGTTTTGAACAAATGGATTTGATTTGACTGAATAGTTTAATGAAACAGAAAATAGCTTTTATCTTTGTCTTCCATTTGTGGGTTTACTCTGTTCCTGGGAAAATTTTACTTACTGAAAAAATTCTGTTTCATTTGGTGAATAGGTGAATATAGATCTGCTTAGGGTTTTAAGTTTTCTGTTTTGAGAATTTGATGAGCCGGACCGCCCTTCAATTGGGTAATCTGTGTTCTTTCTCCAATTTGACACGAAACCGAATAAAAGCAAATAGTTTGATGGGTACTAATAAAGCTCTAATTTTTTTTCTTTTTCTACTTTCTTTGTCAAATTCAACTTACATGGATATGTTCTCTTTGTTTTCTAGTTCTGCAGTTGTGTTGTAACCAGTTGACTGGAAGCATACCTACAAACATGGGGTCTCTAAAGAAGTTAAATGTTCTTGCTTTGCATCATAATACACTAAATGAATCAATTCCGGCAAGCTTAGGGGACTTGGGCATGCTAAAAAGGCTTGATTTGAGTTTTAATCAGTTCTCTGGTCCAATTCCATTAAGCATAGCTAACAATCCACTATTAGAAATATTTTATGTCCAAAACAATTCTCTCTCCGGACTCGTTCCTCCTGGTAAGTTCTTTGCCCCCTTCTTGTTTCTTTAGCCAAAACCGCCTCTTCCAAATTTAATTTTTGTTTTTGTTTGTTGATTCGTTTGTTACAAATCTATACTGATAGTTACTTTTGGTGGATAAAACTCAAGCTTTCAAAAGATTGAACCAAGGATTCCAGTGCGAGAACAATCCGAGTCTATGTGGAATTGGGTTTTCCTCATTGAGAGCTTGCTCTCCTTGGGATAACCAGAACATCATTCAAGTTGAACCCTTCCAACCTATAACAAGAAACAATACTCTGGAAAACCCTATTGCTGCCAATTTCAATACACACTGCAACCAAACTCGTTGTTCAAGGTCATCAAAATTCGTGCAAGTTGCCATTGTTTCCTGTGCTACAACATTTGCAGTGACATTGATCATTGCTGGATTCCTGATTTTCATTAAATGCCGGAGGCAAAAACAGAAGATTGGGAGTACATTTGATACTTCTGATAGTCGGGTTAGCAGCACTGACCAGGCCAGTGAGTTTTACATGAAAAATGCCTCTCCATTGGTGAGTCTCGAATATGGTAATGGATGGGACCCGTTGGGTGATAGCCACGATTGTAAGGGGGTTTATCAGGAGCTTCCGCCGGGGTTTAAGTTCAATTTGGAAGAAGTTGAATCGGCAACTCAGTACTTCTCGGAGGCGAATTTGTTGGGGAAGTCTAAATTCTCTGCCGTCTATAAGGGGGTTTTGAAAGATGGGACCGTTGTAGCCATTCGGAGCATTAGTGTGACTTGTTGTAAGTCAGAGGAAGCTGAGTTCATGAAAGGGTTGAGCTTGTTGAGCTCTCTGAGACATGAAAACCTGGTTAGGTTGAGAGGTTTTTGCTGTTCAAAGGGCAGGGGTGAATGCTTTCTCATCTATGATTTTGCTTCTGAAGGAAACCTGTCACAGTATCTTGATGTGGAAGATGGAAGTGGCCATTTTCTTGACTGGTCAACTAGGGTTTCTATCATCGATGGGATTGCAAAAGGTCAGTTCTACTCCTGAAAATTTCTTTGTTGATTTTCTTCTTTTGGTTTTTGATAATTTACCCTGAAAAATGCTTAAAAGCATAATTCGTCTCCCAAAAGATGAATTTGAGTAAATTTTTTTCTAAAATATGTTCAGAAGTGCAATTTGCCTAAATCTTTTTGATCAAATACCCCTAAAAATATGTTTAAAAATTCAACTGACCACCTAAAAGAATTTCAAAAACACAATTTGTCCCAAAAAAAGATTGATTTGAGTAAATTTCCGTGAAATATGTTCAAAAGTGCAATTGACCCCCTAAAAAGATGTTCAAAGGTGCAACTGGCCACCTGAAAGAGATTCGAAAATGCAATTTGTCCCTAAAAGATCAATTAGTTCAAAGGAAACATTGCTACAAATAAATTGAATTCAGGAGGTAATTTGTTTCAGTTGATCTTTTAGGAGAATTAATTGCCCTTTTGAATGTTTTCAATTTGCAATTTGCCTCAATTGATCTTTTAGGGGTTAATCTCTCTTTGAGCATCTTTCAAGACACAAATTGTCAAAAACCCTCTTCTTTTTATTTGTTGATGTATTTATTTTGTATCGTTTCCTCAATCATTCACCCAATACCAGTGTCATTGTGGACTAATGGTAGTATCAAACCAAAATGTGTTATGTAATCTTTTGAACTGTAAATCCAACATTTCAGCAAAACCTATTAATCTTTTTCTTTACAGCAAGTGACAAGATACTGTTTACATTTATTTCTTCTGCTGGTGCCTTAATATGCTTTGGTCCACAGATGAGGTCTACATGTGGAGAATGGACTAGGTTGCTTTATTTCTTAATCAAGTAGTTATTGCTTTAAAAACTGTAGTCCCCAGCTAAGGTTGCATGATGTAAAGAAAATAATGTCACAATATTTCCAGATATTTTCTTTGTAAAATTCATTCTCAGCACACAAGACTCCTTGCTTATGCTATGTCGAGCACATACCATTTACATGCTAAAAGTATACAATGTTATATTCACTTTTTTACTTATCAAAAAATGTTACATTGCCTTTTTTATATTTTCTACCATACCCTATGTTTGAAGAAGAAAATTCTAACATCTGCCAGTGAGAGCTAGAATTTCGTATTTTTTCTTATTCCTATTTGATTTCAAGTACATTTTTAAATAATTTATATTGTCTTATCTTATGTAAGAATCTTTTACAATATGCAGTATGTATGTATTTAGGACATGTCCACATATCTATACCTAACTTTTGTATATATATCTCAATACCTTAAGATTTAGGTTTAGAAAGGTCTGACACTTAGATGCGCTGGCGCACTTGATACTCATACCTGAGTCCCTGAAATACAGAGAGAGTATAAATAATGTCAAAGAACATAACATCAAAATCTGAAAGCATGCTTTCTTTGTGTATTAGAAATACTTTCGCCATCAACATAGATGATGTTTGAACACCTTCAAATATTGTTTAGAACACAATGGGCGACTGACTGAGTTTCTTGTTCTTCTACATCCAGGCATTAGATACTTGCACAGCAGTGAGAACGGCAAACCTGGCATAGTTCACCAAAACATTTCTGTAGAGAAAGTCCTCATTCATCAAAATTTTAACCCATTATTATCAGATTCCGGTCTCCTCAAGCTCCTTGCAGATGACATTGTCTTCTCGGCTCTCAAGGTCAGCGCTGCCCTAGGATATATGGCTCCAGAGTACATCACCACAGGTCGTTTTACAGAGAAGAGCGATGTGTATGCATTTGGAGTGATCATCCTCCAAATCCTTTCCGGTAAAAGGAAACTCAGCAACTTGATGCGATTGGCAGCTGAATCTTGCTGTTTGGAAGATTTTGTCGACCCAAATCTCAAGGGCAAGTTCTTCGACTCTGAGGCAGCCAAGCTGACAGAAGTCGCGTTGGCATGCACTAATGAGGTTCCGGAACAGAGGCCAACTATGGAAGTGGTGGTTCAAGAGCTTAAGCAGATGTGATGGTGTACCTCTTGATGGCCATGAATATACTGTTTCTAACTTGAGAAACTTGGTGGAGATGGTGAATGGTGATATAGCACTTGGGAAGTGCTCAGTGGTGATTGAAGCAACTGGTCATGTCCACTGTTTCATGGAGTCTCCTGAAGCTTAATGACAAAATCTATGTTGTGAATGTAAATGAAATTGGCTTTTATTGAAGGTGGTAAATAAGGGCTGCAAATCCTGTGTCATATTCCATGTTCCAAACAACTTCTGTAGCATAAGATTTTTCTCTAACTCAGAGATTTGAGATGAAGGGACAAGGAATAGTGAAACAGAGGATCCCATTCCATAATGAAGAGAGGAAGACTTTGGAAAATAACAAAATAGCTCATACAATGTTTCTGCATAATTTAGTGAATGTGTTGACTACATTTACATTTGAGATGAGCATGGTCCACACACTCACCAAGTCGTATACAAAAATCCTGTTTGGTAGCTGTTTGTTACTTATAAGACAAAAATAATTTAAATCAGTTAAACTTTTATTTTTAAAATTTTAAAAAATAATACTTCAGAAAAGTTATAGCAAGCAGGCCCAAAGTAGTTGTGCATGAGGAGGGCATATAACAGTGTTGTAGAAGACATAAAAGTCTCCCTATTAATTGCTGGTTTGAATAATTGGAACTCTAGCTTTAAGAGTGTGGGTCAACCCCTCCTATTGAATTTTAAAGCTTTTAAGGAGGGAAAAGAGAAGCTTGTAACGTTTTCAACTTGCTCCCATAGTAACATTAGAGATAGAAGTGTAAACATGGCACGCGATCCATGAACAGTCCGAAGCTACCCGTGGTTTAGGATGGACCCGACCTGTTTAGGCCCGTTTGGATTCGAGCCTGAGCCCATATTGAAACCCAAGGTCTGGGCCATCATTTTAAAACCCATCCCACGGGCCCACCCAAGACCTAGCCTGAGGCCCATTGTCTTTTTTAGTACAAGATAATAAAATTTTAGTTGAAAAAAAAAAAACAATAAAAATTGTTCAGGCCCGCCCAAGGCCCAAATACCCACTCGGCCTAATTTTTTTTGGGCCCGTCAGCCGGCCCGGCGGACTTGAATTTTGACGGGAGTCAGCAAGGCCCGACGTAGGCCAGACCGGACCAAATTTACATCTCTAGTTACAGATTAACAAATATACCAACAAACATACTTACTTTCATGACAGCTTGATGTAAGACCCACATAACATTTAACAAATATTCCAACCAACTTGCATACTGTCACCACAGCTTGATGTAAGACCCACATAACATTCTTTCTAATTGTTACTATCCAAATATTACCGATACTTTCATTACTCCCCCACTGATCACTGTCCCTTCTCTGTCTCTTATGGTGGTTTGCATCACAAATGTTAAAAAATTAAAATTAAAAATTAAGCTGCACCCATGAATAAACTGTCAAAATCACTAATTTGAAATCCAAAAATTGAACTTCATTGGCCAATCTTCATCCATTTCTCAGTAGCAATAAAATTATGCAGTTCATTGGAATATCAGCGCACCAATCTATGATTATTAATCAAATGATCTCAAAATTGCTTACATGCCTTTTAATACTCTCTCTGGGAACTGCTACAGCTATTTTCCTCTTATTTTCATTTTATGAAGGCAAGCTCTCAAGTTTTTAACTTTTTGGAAGCACAAAGGCCATGTAAATTAACATTCTAAGCAGCAACACTTTGTTGATGATCTACAAACCACTCAGAAGGCCACCATGCTGGTCTAATGGCCAGAACTTTTACATCTTCCTGTCCTTGTATGGCCAATGTGCCCGTGCCCGACCCTTTAAAGGCTTCCTCCAACCTTAGAAGGCCCAGACCACGGCATCCAAGGGCCGTAGTCACGCTCCCAACCTTCTTTCTTGATGAAGCATCAATTACTTCCGACCTAGGAGCAACTTTCTGCTCGACTTCTGAAATACAAGGAGTGAGTGTGTAAAACAAACAACAATGTTGAAAATTGCAAAACAGAAACATGTGGAGGTTTACCTTTTCCACAATCATCAACAAATTTCAGAGGAAGCAGACGTTTTCGAATTACCCCCCTGTGATGTGTTCGAGCAATGAGTTCTTGGCCCACGTAACAGCCTTTGTCGAAGCTTATAGCATTTAGACCCGCAAGATTGTATTCAAGTGGCATTGCCTCACCTAAGGCGCATGATAACATATGAATAATGAAAGTTAAAAACATCAAAACCCAATTCAAAGTATGGTCAATTACAGCAAATAGGCATCAGCTTTTTAAGTTCAGTGATTCTATTTTATGAGCATAAATAATTTGGGGGGAAAAAAGGAGCAAGAATTAAAATGGTTCAATTTTATTTCATGATAAATGGCTTTTTCTGTCACTATCTACCACATCTGGAAAGAAAAAAATTCCAGAGTATGCTCCCAGATTTCTAAAGATGAAGGAACTGTAATGGAGATGATTAAAGAAGATATTAGAACTAGAATCAGCTCTTGGAAGTAAGTGAAGAGCGCCTACAGTAACTGGCAAATTTGTTTGGCTAAGTACGAACATGGACATGAAGATTTTTCCTTTTTTTTTGTCTGTTGATAAATCACATGTACATCAAGATATTAAAAAAATAGTAAAACTACTAATCCAATTTGGGCTGATTGTTTTGTTATGCTTTTCTGTTGATAGAAGTATGCTCTGTTTCTGCTGTATCTAGGAGATGGTAGTTTGTTTGTGTCGGCTGGCTTGGTGTAGAGGTTCTCCTCCATTGATTTCTGTTCTGTACTCTGTTTGATTCTTTTCATCTTTTTCAGTAAATTTTGTCATTCACCAAATAAACAAAAATAAAAGAATTAAAATGGAAAACCAAGTTATTGCACACAAATGGATAGATTCCACACTATGTCGACAAAATTTCAAAAAAAAATTCTTCCTCTTCCTACTCATGCTTCTAATTTTGTACGAGCACAAAGACAAATTCAGTTTCATAAAATGAATTTCTACACCGTTCTCATCTCAATAACTACATCCCCATAAATATCGAGCAAACAGTACATGACAACTTAGGAGGAAATAAGATCACGCAGATTTTGATAATAAATAGATAAGAATGATATAATAACCTCTTTTGTATAGCGCGGCCTTTGGTTCTGATTCTTTTTGAATTTTTTGTTTTAAATGTCTAAATGGGGTGAGGAAGATGCACCTTTTGGGATCTCCGTTGAGCCTTCTGCAACCCCTTTCTCTAATCTCCATAGAAGATAATTTTTTTCACCAGTTTCCTTGTCAGCCTCAACCAAAGGTGCTGCAACAGACATAAAAACATCCTTATGCTTCATCAACTAGAGGTTTCTTAAGAAGATCCACAACGTGCTTGTAACTACTTATGCTATGTATGTTCTAATTTAACCACACTCAGATCACAAAATCAACTTATGCTAATAAATCTCACGTATTGTATTGGATGGAAAAATCCCCCGGAATCCAAGACAATCCAATCTTGGATCCTTATGCCATTGCCATCCAAGACTATTTCCTCGTGAAGCTGACATGCCAGACTGATCAACAGCACCTCCCCAGCCAACAGTAGCAGCCTCTGGTTCTTCTGCTGATGAGGACTTCTCGGTTAGGTTTGTGCCATACCGTTGCCAACAAGAGAAAGCCTCTGCCATATTCTCAATATCAACCTTGGACCTCAACCTGTATCTGTGGCACCAAATAAACAAAAGTTGAATGAAAGATTTATTAACTATTTTGATCATTGAAAAAGCAAATAATCCTGATTCCTGAAGGTTTGGCCATACGAAATAACACCGATATAAAACAAATAAAGTAATACTAATTTGGGTCATATCCTAAGATCAAATGCTTGGGCAAGCTCAGTTGGCAGCCCCACTTGCCAGTCATACCATATTACATAAACGTGTATGCAATTACTATGAGGAGAAAGAGAAAAAAAAAAGTCCTTCAATGTAATGTTTTCATAGTACATCTTGCTCTAGCATTCATTAGAAATCACAAGACAAGTTGCTATTTCTTTAATATTTGAGTTTTTGTCTAATGCCACTCCCTCTCTTTATCCTCCTTGGCCTGAATAGATTCCTTGGGCTACGAATCCCGCTTACTTGAGTAATCTACTCAGGAATCTCACAATCAATAAGTTTGACAAAGAAGGGCCTGTTAAACACTCTCATTAACAAGTTTTGCAAACCAAAGCAGCAAATCAAAATAAAATTAGGCTCCATTTGGATATGTAGATTTAAAATGAATGGATTTGGTATTAATTCAACGTAATATTCTAGGTATGGATCTAAACTATAAATTTGAGAATTTTAGATTAATGGATTTGAAATAACTAACTGAACATGGTTATTTGAAATCCTTCCATGAATGATTATTCTATGCATACAAAAATACTAGCAAAATGCATTTCTCCTATCTCTATGCATCCTTCACTTTAGAATTATCAATCTATGTCCACTAATCAATCTTCTTACAATTCTATAAAGCTGAATATCAAATCCCTTCATTTAAAATCCACACACTTATCAACATTCTTTAATTTTGATCACTAAAATTTGATCCTTTACAATGAACTTCATAACAATTAAAACTTGAAACAAATTACACTTTTCACAATGTTGTTAATCAAACAGTACACAAAATACCCATATTCAAATCAACCCAAAAACCACAACAAAATTCAAAGAACCTTACTTTTTCATGGTCTCCAAAAGCTCATCCAATACAGAGGCATCAACATCGGCATAAAGCTCCAGTTCATCTGGGTCAGGTCCGGGTCTACTACCAGATACATCAAGCTTCCCATAAAACCGGGTCGGCCCGTATATGAAAAAATCATACAGAAACCTTCCCTGAGGCGAACACATTGCGGCGTACATAGGAGGAATCGAAACAGAGGGCAAGTTCGGCGTAGGCAGAGTCAAATTCGCATCACCCACGGGTTCACCGAACTTCCGTACATCGTTTGTCAGCAGACCCTGAAGGAATTTCAGGGTGTCGGGGCCTCGGAACCGAACCACGGCTCGGGAATCGAGGAGGGAAGCCATGGGGCGGACATTGTGGAGGTGGGTGTGGAGAGAAGATAAGTTTCTAGAGGTTGTTCGATGGAGGGTAGTGTAGGAACTGTAGGAGATGGGTTTTGGGAATTGGAGGGAGAGTTTGAAACGGTGCATGGTTTAGGATTTTGAATGTGTGTGAATTTTGGGGTTGAGAGAAGTTGTGGAGAGAGGAAGAGATGGTGGTTATGGTGGCGGTAAGAGGGAGGTGGGTTGTTGACACGTGTGATTATAAGTGTTGGATTTGAAGACAGCTTCTCATGTGTTTGATGAAATTCCTGAATGAAAACGGATCCCTTTTGTTATGGACAGTGTGAAAGGTCGGCGTGTCTCAAAATGGCTTAGAATTTTCAGCAGTGGTTTAAGGCAAATGCTATGTTAGCAGGTGTCCTTTACGCTAACTAGGATGAGCTAAATAAGTAAATTTATTTGATAAATATATTTATTTGAGTGATATTATTTCTTTATTTTTTTATATTTTTTTTAAAAAATAAAAAAAATTCGAAACAACTCCTATAAAAATTAGTGTAAAAGGTGTTTTAAAAATAGTAAAAAAGTTCAAAAGTGTTTTGAGTAAGTAAAAAGTGATTAAAACTGTATTGAATTCTATGCTTATGAAAAATGCTCCAGAGCTCGAAATGATTGAGGCTCAATTGGCCCGAATTCAAAATGATGTCGTTTTGATATTTTTTTTTTCCCTCTCTTTTATCTGTGAAACAGAGGGAGGAAGAAAGAAAGAGAGAAGAGAGAGGAAGAGAGAAGTGCCATCACCGACACTATCACAGGCTGTCATCGCCATCACTGGCCATCCTCTACACACAGATCTGTATTGATCTGTATCTCTTTCTCTCTCTCTCTTTGTTCTATGTATCTCGCTTTCTCATTTGTGGGTTTGATTTTTGTTTTGATTTGTAGGTTTGATTTTTGGGTTTGATTTGTTTTGATTTGTGGTTTTGATTTTTTATGTTTGATTTCATTTTCCTCTCCTCTCTTTTATTGATTCTATGGAAGAAGAAAAGAAAAGAAAAGAAAAAAAAAATGAGGAAGAATAGATACAAACAGAGGAAAATGAAAAAAAAAGGCTGATTTGTATTGGTTTTGATTTCTGATGTTTGATTTTATTTTATTTTTTTCCCTCTCTTTTTTTTTTTGAAGAAGAAGAAAAGAAAAAAAAAAAACTGAGGAAGAACAAATACAAACAGAGAAAGAAAAAAGGAAAAAAAAAAAAAAGAAGGGTCGTTTTGGCACCTCGAGCCATTCGAGCCTCGGAGGATTCGGGCTACCTAGCAGGACTGCCATACTTATTTTGTCTTTTTTTCTTGTGTTATTAAGCCTTTGTTTGGGATGAACTTTTTTAGCCTGAGTTTTTATCTATTTGGCTATTTTAGTTTAGTTTAAAATGTTGTGTTTCGGATGATGATTGACTTTTTTTTATAGTTGATTTGATAATTGTAAAGAAAAAAATAAAATGATTATAATTTAAATATAATATTTTGTAACAATCTAAATTTTTAATTATTTTGTAAAATTTATACCAATATTATTTAATTACAGTTAGAAAAATATACGATTTATTTTGTATTATTATGTATAATTTTGTAAAATAATATAATTATTAAAAATTTAAGAGTCAAAATATAATTAAATAACTAAGTTAAGTTTAGATAAGTTTAAATTAATAGAAGAGTAATGAGAGCGCGGCACGTGGCAGCCGGTGGCTTGGTGCCGACCGCTGCCTTTTTCTATATAGAGGGGGAGGTAACAAAGAGAAAGGAAAAGTAAAAAGAAAGAGAGGAAAATGATAGAAAAGAGAAAAAAAAATAATGGACGTTGAAAGGGTATTTGGCAGTAGAAAGAAATAGCGATATATTAAAGTTAAGATAAGTTATATTATATCTTAAGTTACCAAAATATATTTTACTTATGTTTTGACTTACCATATGTATTTTATACAAGTTATGTTTTATAAATTATTATAAACTATATTAATATTTCAGTTACGTGGTTTAATTGTTAAACCCTATTTGCTTAAAATGAAACCCATACATATGTTTGTTTATATTTTAAAGAATATTTGACTATAACCTTATAAGCAATTATGTTTTGTAAGTACCACCACGGGAGTCCCACGCATTGAGGGACTTAAATAACTATTGACCCTCCGATAAATCACCTTGTGACCCTTTGTCTGTCATGGATCCATTAACCCTCTGAATTTCTGGTGTGAAGCAAAGTGTTGTACGGAGCTAAGTGCTACACTATGGTGGGAGCCACTTCTAGAGTTCGTACGAGCCACCTCTTGAGTCCACACATTTGTCCGGTTCTGTACCGTAGTTATGACTTCTAGTGTGGAGCAAAGTGCTATACGGAACTAAGTGTTACACTATGGTGGGAGCCACCTCTAGAATTCGTATGAACCATCTTTTGAGTCTATACATATGTTCTGTTCCGTTCTGTACCGTGGTTATGATTATGTATATGATTTCCATGTTTGATCTCTGTATTATATATTCGGTATTTTAATATCAAGCTTTGTTTAGCCAATAATTATCCATGGTGAATTTTATATCCTTATACTCTTAGTATAATATGTCTCACTCTGCTATGCGCTTATAGTTGTTTACCACTTTCAGGGGATATGTCAAGGCCAGCGCATGGGGTAGGCACGAAGCACTTTATAAAGATAGTTCAGTTCTAACAAGTTAATTAAATAGAAGCTCCAATGATTATTTTGGTACCCTCACTTGAATATTATTTCCGCTCGCGTTTATTTATTTGTTTAAGAATTGGCCGGAGGTAACCTCAGTTATTGGCCATCACGATACTTAACTCCTTGGATACAGGGAACAGGTCGTGACATATTTTGTCTTATAGACTAAAATAGTATGTTTTTTTTTTTATTGGCTAATTTTAGTCTCAAACTTGTATCCCAAACAACCCTTGAGACACTTGTTAGTAAGACCAATGTTTAATTCAACAATTTATCTTTAATGTTAACGTTAAATTGCTAATATATTGTTTAAAGAGTGTAATTTTAATATTATTTTATTTTAATTTTAACTTAAATTGTTATATTATATATTTTGTTGTAATAAAAAATATAATAAATTTATTATTAAAAAAATTCATAACAGAGAACTCGTAGTCCAATCAAATGGTGATTTCATTGTGCGTAGAACCTTCCAACCTATATAAAAGGAAATTTCAATTTCAAGCCTTTTATATGGACTTGAACCTTTGTTAGTTTAGATTAATTGGTTACCTTTTTTGTTTTATTTTTAATATTTTTAATGCAAACCATTTTTTTCCTTTACCAGTTAACAACTTTTACTTTGGAAAATTCCAATCATACTTGAAAATTGTTATATAAGAACGTTGCCATTACAACTCATGAACTTGAGGTAGCATTAACCTATTCCTAAAACTTCAACCATATAAATAATTTAAAAATAAATAGTGTATATATATATATATCTCTAACTTTAAACCTCTCTATCTTTATGTCTTAATATATTTTTAACTATTAAATTATATTTAAAATTCACATGACATATAATCTAATAATTAAAAATATATTTTGAGATAGAATTCTTTATCCTCTCTCTATAGTCGAACATCTTAGGTAGATCCGGAACATCACCAAATGATTCTCTCCAAACTAAGTTGCAACCGATTTTATTTTTCCTCACTCAAACCAAATAAAAAGGGCTCATTTTTACACATAATGTCATGATTTGGATGATTTAGGCAATGTTGTCAGCATTTTTATTTTTTATTTAAATGAAAAACATGTTGAATTATCTATAGAAAATGTACGGGGGTGATTTCCGCACTATGAAGAAGGGTTGAACTTCGTGGATGAACAGCGCTTTGGGAATTGAAGACCTGCACAGAATAACAAACGGTGAGGCTGCCCGACCGGGGTTTGGTCGGAAACCCCTCCGATGGTAAAGTCAGGGACTTAGGAAGAAGAAAAAGAGAGAATGGGTGTATATGTGTTAAGTGTGTGTATTTTTCGGATCCCTTCAGAGTGAATAGTGTTCACCTTTTATGGGAGAAGGTTGTTTGTCGTTCAAGTCTTTCTCTCTCCGCCATCTGTCCAACGTGTCTTATTCGTGGTCGTCTCCTATTGGAGGTGGACGACCACTCCGCCTGACAATCGGGTGCAGGTCTGTTTTGTTTGTCTCATTAGCGGACATCTCTCATTGGAAGAGGACGACCACTCCGTCTGTCATTCAGATGCAGGTCTGTCATATATGCACCTTGTCCCTCTGCACCTCTATGTCTCCACGTTCTGTTCATACAGAGGGAGAGAAGCAGAGTTGTTTGTCTCTTGTGGGCCCGAGAAAGATCTTCAGTGAATTGGTCTTCTTCGAGTTGGCCTACTCTAGAATGGTTGTCCAACCAGGAGGTCCAACAAGTTGCTCAGCCCACTTCGGAGTGATTGTCTGTCCATCCAGGAGGTTCAACATGTTACTCAACCTACTTCGGAGTGGTTGGTTGTCCGCCCAGGAGGTTCAACATGTTACTCAACCTACTTCGAAGTGGTTGGCTGTCCGTCCAGGAGGTCCACCGTGTTGCTCGGCCCACTTCGGAATGACGCTCATACATTGGGCCGAACTCCTATAATTGTCTTGCTTCGGAGTAAGTGTTGGCCATAGGGCTGAGGTCCGACCTAGCTCCACCTTGGAGTGAGTATTGCATTGGGCCTAGCACCAAGACTTGATTAATTTTCACCCACTTCAGACTCTTTATATAATTCACACTAGAATAGGACCATTGGGTCCATAGATAAAAAGTAAAGAATAAATAATTCATAAAATCACTATTTAAGATTTATTGATACATCATTTTTTTTAATAAAAAATAATATTTACAAAACGGAATCTAAGGAATCAGAAAATTATCAGTAAAATATTATGAATTTAAAATCTAGGATGTATATTTAAAATAATTGTTGTGAGTTACTATGCTGTTTGCAAAAATAATACAAAAATCAAATGAGAAAACAAAAGCTTGACCATTGACTTCAACTGACACAAAAAAGTCTTCCCTGCCATCTTTCTTGGCGCTTCTCCGGCTGGCTGTTTGTTATAACTTAAAAATAAAATAAAATAAAATTTTAACTTATTTTGGAGTTTATATCAGGTCATTTACTGTAACTTGTTTATAATTTATTAGGTTAAAATAATTTTAATAAGTTGAAAAAAAAAATTAATGATCTAAAAATTGAGAGGAGGTGCTTTTAATTTTTTATTTTTTAATTATCAATTTTTAACTTCTAATAATCAATACCAAACAGGGCAAATAACCTTTTGATTTCTTGTTTCTATCATTTCGTAAAAAGAAAATAATTTAAATTACATGTGTCATAGTCTTATTAGTCCAATTACAACTTTGAAATTTTGTAAATCTCCATTCAAATTCCTACATTTAATTTTATAAAGTTTATTATAAATTCGAAATCATAAAAAAAAAATTAACTAAGAGCATATCCAATGGTTTGTCATTGAAACTCCCATTGCTATAATATAACAGCTATGTTGAATTTTGATGCTCCAATGGCAAAATGTAGCAGCTGCCAAATTTGAGAAATGCCAAAGCTTGTGTCAAGCTGCTATTTGTGCCAACTCAGCCAAAACCGACTGTTTCCCTTCTTCCTTCCCTCCCTCCCTCTCCTCCCAGTAACTGTTTCACAATTTTTATGTTTCAGAATTCACCAAAAAAAAATTGAATAATGCAATATTTTACCATTTTACCCGAAATCAGAATTCACCATTTTACCATGTTTCAGAATTCACCAGTTCTGTATCTGGCAAAGCAGTCCATGTTTGGCACTTCTTTCCTAAAATCTATTTTCTCAAAATGATTTGCCAGA